GTGGCGTGACTGAAATTGTCCTACCCTCTAGACTAGTTGACTCTCAGTGGCGTGACTGAAATTGTCCTTACCCTCTAGACTAGTTGACTCTCAGTGGCGTGACTGAAATTGTCCTTACCCTCTAGACTAGTTGACTCTCAGTGGCATGACTGAAATTGTCCTTACCCTCTAGACTAGTTGACTCTTAGTGGCGTGACTGAAATTGTCCTGACCCTCTAGACTAGTTGACTCTCAGTGACGTGACTGAAATTGTCCTGACCTTTAACCTTTAAGTTCATTTACAGACAAATAAACGACTGTTTTCTGTGAAAGTTGAGAAACAGATAAAGTAAATGAATTTGTTGCCCCCTCCTTCCTCCTCCATCAGAAATGAATTGTTTTCTTCTCCGAATTTACTGTTGTTACATATCATCAGGATTGAGGCTATTTATAACCATTAACATTTCTATCTGTAGAACAGAACTACATTACAAATCTTCATCCATTCATTCAGTTGATCACAAGAAAACTTTAAAAAGTGTCATTAGGTCTGAAGTTATACGTTGTCTTATAAATCAATGCTCAGAATAACCAGTTTGAGGTTAGGTCGAAGTTATCATAAATAAAATGCAAATGTACTTGATTAAAACCATACTAATCATTTTTATCCTGCAACCAGCAGTGTCATTGTCGGAATACACCTGCCACAAACATTTTGCTGTATTTGGCAGCGACAGAAAACAGCTGTATTTTAGCACGAAATTCCATACAAAGACTGAACATGAAATTTTAGAAGCCTTGATGGTCTGATTCGCAGTCAATGTTGAAGGGTAAAAAGAATACGTAGTCAGTGTCTTAAAATATAAGCTGTATCTTGGTGAGGGTGAAGAAAGACAAAAGGGGCGAGTCTCTGGTGAGTCACTTTTGTCTTTCTGACCATGCATCCTAGGTGCATTAGTTTTGGACATCTTAAGGACCATTTTATGCTAGCTACCCTTTGTCAACAAATCACCACCAAACAAATATATAAATGAATTTAAATATTTTCATATTATAATATTTATTTTAAAAAAAACTGAACAGTGAAACACCAGTATTTTTCAAAACTAAAATATCTTCAGATCTGACCTCAAATTTTCTCACCTAAAATTATCGAAATGTGTATCAGTCATATATGATTGCACTTCCGTTTCTGATGGCATTACTAAATCCCGGAGACACTCCAGATAACTTACAGTGACCAGGAAGTACATTATATATTGCATAAAATCATCATCTGAACAGGAATGACATTCTGATGTCAGAAAAAAAAAAAATAATAATGGTGTAAAACTGTTGGAGGGTTGGTTTCAAGATTTTACCCATACCAAAGTAAAGTACAAAAACAACAGTAAGGAGAAAAAAAAGTACTAAAAAGTATACCTTTTCCACTTAATTTGGAACCAAAGGTTCAGCACAGTTCCAGATTGAGTCAGAAAAAATAGACTAGTACAAAAAAGGCTAATAAAAGTATACTTTTGGCACATTAGATGATTTTCACAAGTACAGACCTAGTTCATAAATAGTACAGAAATAGTATCATAAAAGTAGAAATATAATACAAAGTATTAAACAAACATAGAAGACAAAAAATAAGTACTTATTTTGTCCTTGTATATACTTTTATAGTACTTACAGGTAATTTTAAAAAGGGAAAAAAGTACAAAAATAGTAAAAAGCAGGGATATGGTATAAAGTAGGAAAAAAGTACTTTTACAACAATATCAAAAAAGTATGCAAAAGGTATGTAAATATGTCACAAAAAGTACCTTAAAATTCCATAAAAGAACAAAAATAAACCAGATTTTATCTAACTTGTGCTCATATAAGAAAATAAAAGAGTACTTTTTTTGTATTTTTTTCGTACTTTTATGAGATCCAAAAAGTATTAAAGAAGCCAAAATTACACAAAGTACGTTTACCATTTTTCTTTATAATGTAGTTTTGCTCTTTTAGCACTGTGTCACATTAAAAACGAGTTTGAACATCTTAAAACAGCAGGGGCAGAGATATACATGTATGATGGTCGTTATGTGGAGCAGGGACAGAGAGATATATGAATGATGATGTTATGTGGAGCAGGGACAGAGATATACATGTATGATGGCCGTTATGTGGAGCAGGGACAGAGAGATATATGAATGATGATGTTATGTGGAGCAGGGACAGAGATATACATGAATGATGATGTTATGTGGAGCAGGGACAGAGATATACATGTATGATGGCCGTTATGTGGAGCAATGAGAGATATACATGTATGATCTATGAATGTGTTATGACTATACATGTATGATGGCCGTTATGTGGAGCAATGCCGTGATCTATTGTGTCTGACTTGAACGTACCATCTACATTATTTTAACAGCCAATGAACCTGATGACAGTAGACATGACAAGTTTAATCTGTCTGTCTGTATGACTGTCTGTATGACTGTCTGTCTGTCTGTCTGTCTCTCTCTCTCTCTCTCTCTCTCTCTCTCTCTCTCTCTCTCTCTCTCTCTCTCTCTCTCTCTCTCTCTCTCTCTCTCTCTCTCTCTCTCTCTCTCTCAGAGATGTTATATATAAAATCGCTCTCGATTTAGATTTACAACTTTGTATTTATTTCATGGTCTATGTATAAGATGTAATTTATGCAATATCTTTGTCTTGATAAAGGGGCAGGTTGCCTCGGAAGCTTGACAATCCGCTTGTCCGTACTGTTGCTTTTATTCATTCGTCACATTTGTAAATTACGTAACTGTATTGTCCTGTCAATTAGATATTTGCGTTGTATAATGAGAAATATGTTTTGGTTGTTGTTACCTAACACCGTGGTTTTACTTTACTGTGGAGCAACACATTATATTCGATGACATCAGGTACATTCAATGTGAAGTTAATGTGAACTTTTGTTTTAAACACATTTTATAATCCCCAATATTAATTTCAAATGGTTTTAAAATGTCCAATGAGGAGATATTATACAAATATGTTACACGTTTCTGTGGAAATGAATCGAATGATGTACATTTGACAGACTGCTATAAACACTCCTATCCAAAATCTATCATAAAATGGAACTCACTCTCCCACTCTCTTTGTTTCTGATGGCACTGTTGACACCTTCAAATCACTTGTCGCAATGTCTTACCTATCTTATCACTAAAATCCCAATTCTTTTAAACTTTGAAATATGAATATTTCATCCTTTTAACCAAAACCTTGGGACTAATCGTCAGAATTGACGGCCCCTAAGTACTACTACTACTACTTACTACCTACTACTATTACTACTACAGGAAGATATGAATTTAAATGATTTACATAAAATCTTCAACGTTTTTTGTTCCACAAAATTACATGACATTAAAAAGCACATAATGCAGAATACACTTTTATTTTGAAAACAAAATCATTTCTGTTAGTATTTGATATATCTGCCCGAATGTTTCAATGTGATTTATGTTAAGAGGGGGAATAACTCTTCTTTGCACAAAGCGATTTGCTCGCGTTCGGGACTGACTATTATCAATGCTCATTGACCGCTTCAGTAATCGCAGTCAGGAAAGACAATGCCGAGATTTTTATCTCTCAAATAATATACACAATTTCACGGGTGCCTCATTGATGAGATGCTATCGATCAAAGCGAAACTAGAAACACTTCTGACAAGCACCTGCTGAAAATCGCGTGTATGTTGTTTGGCAACAAGATCACGTGATACAGCTACTTTTCCAAGATGGCGACTTTCATCGATAGAGGAAAGTTAAACAACAGGTAAACATTGAACGGCTACCAGTAGTGTGTGATCAGTAGAGGGATGCTAACTCGATACACGGAAGAATACATGAATCCGAGGATTGTACGGATATTGATAGATGACAGTGTATTACATTTCAGTATAATTTCGCTCGTGAAAGTTCATCAAACGTGACCTATTGATCAGTTAATCTTATAATCTGTATATGTAGTGTTGCGATAAGTGTAGATATGTAACTTGTATTATGAATGTGATGTAGTATATTATAGCTGTTTTCACGATGGAAGTATATTTAACTTTTAAACAAGTCCTATAACTAAAACTTGTTTTTCGAGTTGTCTTTATATTATATATATAGACATTCAAAACATATTGATAATAAATAGCAATCGAAATGTAAAGACCTGTCGTTTAGCTAGAGAACGTCAAACATCAAATTATTTTGTAGATTATATCAACTTTTCTCTCACTTTTCAAGCAATTATATGTCAGTAATTAATCACATATATAATATTTACATGATATTACACATACTGACATTAATATACAGATTTAATTATAAGTAAGTAAGTAGAAGATGTCCACGCCCCCTCCCTAGTAATGTATATATAATATATATGGTAAACTTTTTGTTATCTAAACAAAAACAAATAAAAAATGTTGATCCTGTTCATATTATACAACATAATGGCTGGGAGTATAACTTGAAGTCAAACTATTATTGGACAGGTTATTTTTTTTTAAATTGAAAACAACACAGGTTTGAACTATTTGCACAATTTAAACTGACCTGGCACGACTTGTATAAAACATCTCAACTTGAGATTTCCTCAAGTCGAGATTTTGCTCAGCTAATATCTCCTCAAAAACGGCTTGTATAAAATTTGCTCAAGGAACAGGAGGAAGTCATCGGCTAGGATGTCCTGAAATTCCTTGAGTAATTTTCATACAAGATATTTTCAAGGAGATATTAGCTGAGGAAAATCTCGACTTGAGGAAATCTCAAGTTGAGATGTTTTATACAAGTGGGGCCTGGAGGTTAAGCATATGCCAGTGATTATGTTACACTACATAGAATGACACTTTTTATACCTTTCATTTTCACAAACAGATTGACTTGAGACACTGCTAGTGAAGTTCTTCATGACACGACCTAAAAACTAGGCCCTCAGCACTAGGCCTCTGGAGTTAGGCCCTATCAAAAAAGGGAACATAATCCTGACAGACACCAGGTGCCATTATGATGAACTACGTGGGTAGTATTTCAATCCTTGATCGGGGTGATGCCCCCGCCCAGGCCATCATCGACAAAAATGCTCGCTCACTGGCACAACGAGTGGCAGATGAGACAAGGGATGAATTGGAGAAGGTCATGACCCGAGTAGACAACGTAAGTATTTCTTCTCCTTTGTTTATCTTTTGGATTTAATCTCAACATCAATGTGTCATGTTTCTGATACATGTAAATAACTTCATAATAACTTCTTCACCGTCTTCTTTTGTCTATAATTTAAAGTTGTCCTCCTGATTTCACTTGAAAGGTTGTTATGCTTGACTCATATTCTTAGTATAATTGTGTTAGGTCCTTGGTTTCATTCTTCAGCAGTGATCAGTGTTTATTTCCTAGGAAATAGTTGTTGAATGTAGCAGCCATGTTTCATTTTTAGCATATTTTTTATCTTCAAAGACAACACATATATACCTCGTATACAGATGTTGTACTTCACCCTGCCTCTCCCACAACCCCGCTTGCTGCCCCTATAGATTGCTATAGTAGGGGGAGAAATGTTCCCTATTATATGTGATGGAATTTGGGAGTGACCAGAATTGTAAGGAGCCCCTAGTGACCAGCCACAACACTTAAGTGTGATCCAGGCTGTTGACATATAATTACGGTCCTTGGGGTAACATATCAGGGATGTTTGTACTCAAACCCATCACTGGGGTCCTTTGGGTAACATATCAGGGATGCTGGTACTCAAACCCATCACTGGGGGTCCTTGGGATAATACATCAGGGATGTTTGTACTCAAATCCATCACTGGGGTCCTTGGAATAATACATCAGGGATGTTTGTACTCAAACCCATCACTGGGGTCCTTGGGATAATACATCAGGGATGTTTGTACTCAAACCCATCACTGGGGGTCCTTGGAATAATACATCAGGGATGTTTGTACTCACACCGGTCACTAGGGTCCTTGGGATAATACATCAGGGATGTTTGTACTCACACCGGTCACTAGGGTTCTCGAGATCATACATCCGGGATGCTTGTACTCAAAAATATCACTAGGGTCCTTGGAATAATACATCAGAGATGCTGGTATTTAAACCCGTAACTGGGGTCCTTGGGATAATACTGCAGGGATGTTTGTACTCAAACACATAACTAGAGTCCTTGGAATGACACATCAGGGATGTTTGTACTCAAACCCATAAGGTAATTAACAGTAGACTGGTCAGGTTGTTGAATTATCTGAGGTAATAACTATAGACTGGTCAGGTTGTCTAATTTATCTGAGGTAATAACTATAGACTGGTCAGGTTGTCTAAACACAATAACTATAGACTGTCAGGTTGTCTAATTTACTGAGGTAATAACTATAGACTGGTCAGGTTGTCTAATTTATCTGAGGTAATAACTATAGACTGGTCAGGTTGTCTAATTTATCTGAGGTAATAACTATAGACTGGTCAGGTTGTCTAATTTATCTGAGGTAATAACTATAGACTGGTCAGGTTGTCTAATTTATCTGAGGTAATTAACATTAGTCTCATCAGATTGTTTAATTTGTTTGCGGTTATTAACATTAGACAGAAATTTGGTATAAACAATGTCGATTGGTCATACTAATATGTTGTGCAGCGATTCAAATTCAGCGTTCGCAATTCCTCAATTATAGAGTTATTGCCCTTTCTTAAAATTTTGTGTTCAGAGCATAACTTTGCTAGCATATAAACTGGAATAATGAAACTTGGTGTATACATTGACCACACAAAGATCATGTGCTGTGTACCAAAGTCAGGGCCTGCAACTCCTCAATTACAGAGTTATTGCCTTTTGTTAAAATTTTTTGTCCAGAGGGCAACTTTAAATTGCTTGCAATGAGAAATAGGATCATGAAGCTTGGTTTATTCATTGATCATAGTAAGTGAATGTGCTGTGTATTAAAGTCAGGGTCTGCTGTTATTTTCCATTGTTAAGATTTTGTATACAAATCATAATTTGGACTGCATTTAAACTATATTAATGAAACATGATGTACATATTAGTCATAAAGAGACAATGTGCTATGTACCATAGTCAGGGCCTGTGACCACATGATTACAGAGTTAGTGCCCTTTGTTACAATATACCAAAGTCAGGGCCTGTGACCCTTTTATTACAGAGTTAGTGCCCTTTGTTACAATGTCCCGAAGTTAGGGCCTGTGACCTCATAATTACAAGTTAGTGTCCCTTTGTTACAATATACCAAAGTCAGGGCCTGTGACCTTGTGATTACAATTACTGCCCTGTCTGGTTTATGACTTTGTTGAAAAGCTAGGATAATGAAACTTGGTGTTTACATTGATCAAACTAAGATGATATTTCATATACCAAATCAAGGGGCTGCAACTCCATGCTTACAGAGTTCGTGCCCTTTGTTATGTTGTATCAAATTCAGTGCCTAAATCTCCTTAAATACAGAATTATTGCCCTATGTTATACTTTTTTGTCTTATAAAGTTGTTTTTGTGAGGAGCATTCATTAGTTTCACAGACATTCTTGTTATTTAAGTGAATTTATCACTGAAGGGGTTAGTCTTAGGATGCTTATGGTCAAAGTTTCACTATCCTTTGTAAAGTACTGGTACACATTTTTATCTCGAAAGTTATCCTTATTAAACTACGTACTATCTATTAATAAAACAGATTTAAAGATGTACCTTAACCATCTATCAGGATCACAGTGGTAAATCTAGAAATCATGGCTGGTTCTTCAAAGACAAAGACAACTATTAGAAACGACTTCTAACAGAGCCTCACTTTGACCCCACGGCATGTCTAAGTTTAACAAACTACTGTTAGACTGTTTATAATTATTAATCCAGTCTAAAGTTTACAAAGATAACATCTTATTGTAGGTAAATTTGACCTACACTTCACTGGAGCAGGGGAAGTGAACAGTCGACAGTAAACATACAAAGAAATTTAAATGGACAAAATTTTTGTTGACTGAATAAATAAATCGGCTAAAACGGACTTAATCTTTTATATTAATGTTGTATATTTAAATGAGTGTTTTAATTTGAACTGTAGGTTGATATTCTAAGTGTTCGTGCTCCGTTACACACAGAGAATGGTAGGGTATCCTTAATAGACTTACATACCTACAGCTGATTATTGATTGTAATAAGTAAACTTTGGATTAAGTAGCTTACGTCTGTTAGAAAGTCTAGTCATCAACACTCTCAGTAAGATATAAACAAAACATTATATATCTTATACTCTCATATACATTCCACAAAAAATGGAAAGATTGTAACATTTTTTACAAAAAATGAATCAAATGTTATGATTATATCAGAGGAAATTAAAAAAAAAAGTATCGAACTGATAACAGAGAAATACTGAATGAAAGCTGATTTTAAAAGGAAGACATCTATAACAAATAGTATGATAGACAGGAAGAGGAACCAGACTTTATCACATCTCGATTAAAAACAATCATAGCTGAAATGACTACAGTAAATTCTTGACTCTTTACTATAATTGCTTTATCATCTCGTAACATCATTTTCTACCTAAGTGTACCTAGCAATATATTACACTCAAAAAAAGTTTGTTTGTTCGTTGAATATCACATACACAATGTTAGAGCTAATAAATCATAAAACTGTAATACACACAGATATAGAGTCTGTAATACACACAGATATAGAGTCTGTAATACACACAGATATAGAGTCTGTAATACACACAGATATACAGTCTGTAATACACACAGATATAGAGTCTGTAATACACACAGATATAGAGTCTGTAATACACACAGATATAGAGTCTGTAATACACACAGATATAGAGTCTGTAATACACACAGATATAGAGTCTGTAATACACACAGATATAGAGTCTGTAATACACACAGATATAGAGTCTGTAATACACACAGATATAGAGTCTGTAATACACACAGATATAGAGTCTGTAATACACACAGATATAGAGTCTGTAATACACACAGATATAGAGTCTGTAATACACACAGATATAGAGTCTGTAATACACACAGATATAGAGTCTGTAATACACACAATACACACAGATATAGAGTCTGTAATACACACAGATATAGAGTCTGTAATACACACAGATATAGAGTCTGTAATACACACAGATATAGATATAGTCTGTAATACACACAGATATAGAGTCTGTAATACACACAGATATAGAGTCTGTAATACACATAGATATAGAGTCTGTAATACACACAGATATAGATTCTGTAATACACACAGATATAGAGTCTGTAATACACACAGATATAGAGTCTGTAATACACACAGATATAGAGTCTGTAATACACACAGATATAGATTCTGTAATACACACAGATATAGAGTCTGTAATACACACAGATATAGAGTCTGTAATACACACAGATATAGAGTCTGTAATACACACAGATATAGAGTCTGTAATACACACAGATATAGTCTGTAATACACACAGATATAGAGTCTGTAATACACACAGATATAGAGTCTGTAATACACACAGATATAGAGTCTGTAATACACACAGATATAGAGTCTGTAATACACACAGATATAGATTCTGTAATACACACAGATATAGAGTCTGTAATACATACAGATATAGAGTCTGTAATACACACAGATATAGAGTCTGTAATACACACTGGTACAGAGTCTGTAATACACACTGGTACAGAGTCTGTAATACACACTGGTACAGAGTCTGTAATACACACTGGTACAGAGTCTGTAATACACACTGGTACAGAGTCTGTAATACACACTGGTACAGAGTCTGTAATACACACTGGTACAGAGTCTGTAATACACACTGGTACAGAGTCTGTAATACACACTGGTACAGAGTCTGTAATACACACTGGTACAGAGTCTGTAATACACACTGGTACAGAGTCTGTAATACACACAGATATAGAGTATGTAATACACACAGATATAGTCTGTAATACACACAGATATAGAGTCTGTAATACACACAGATATAGATTCTGTAATACACACAGATATAGATTCTGTAATACACACAGATTTAGAGTCTGTAATACACACAGATATAGAGTCTGTAATACACACAGATATAGAGTCTGTAATACACACAGATATAGAGTCTGTAATACACACAGATATAGAGTCTGTAATACACACAGATGTAGAGTCTGTAATACACACAGATGTAGAGTCTGTAATACACACAGATATAGAGTCTGTAATACACACAGATATAGAGTCTGTAATACACACAGATATAGAGTCTGTAATACACACAGATATAGATTCTGTAATACACACAGATATAGAGTCTGTAATACACACAGATATAGAGTCTGTAATACACACAGATATAGAGTCTGTAATACACACAGATATAGAGTCTGTAATACACACAGATATAGAGTCTGTAATACACACAGATATAGAGTCTGTAATACACACAGATATAGAGTCTGTAATACACACAGATATAGAGTCTGTAATACACACAGATATAGAGTCTGTAATACACACAGATATAGATTCTGTAATACACACAGATATAGAGTCTGTAATACACACAGATTTACACACAGATATAGAGTCTGTAATACACACAGATATAGAGTCTGTAATACACACAGATATAGAGTCTGTAATACACACAGATATAGATTCTGTAATACACACAGATATAGTCTGTAATACACACAGATATAGAGTCTGTAATACACACAGATATAGAGTCTGTAATACACACAGATATAGTCTGTATTACACACAGATATACAGTCTGTAATACACACAGATATAGAGTCTGTAATACACACAGATATAGAGTCTGTAATACACACAGATATAGAGTCTGTAATACACACAGATATAGAGTCTGTAATACACACAGATATAGAGTCTGTAATACACACAGATATAGAGTCTGTAATACACACAGATATAGAGTCTGTAATACACACAGATGTAGAGTCTGTAATACACACAGATGTAGAGTCTGTAATACACACAGATATAGTCTGTAATACACACAGATATAGAGTCTGTAATACACACAGATATAGAGTCTGTAATACACACAGATATAGAGTCTGTAATACACACAGATATACAGTCTGTAATACACACAGATATAGAGTCTGTAATACACACAGATATAGAGTCTGTAATACACACAGATATAGTCTGTAATACACACAGATATAGAGTCTGTAATACACACAGATATAGAGTCTGTAATACACACAGATATACAGTCTGTAATACACACAGATATAGAGTCTGTAATACACACAGATATAGAGTCTGTAATACACACAGATATAGAGTCTGTAATACACACAGATATAGAGTCTGTAATACACACAGATATACAGTCTGTAATACACACAGATATAGAGTCTGTAATACACACAGATATAGAGTCTGTAATACACACAGATATAGAGTCTGTAATACACACAGATATAGAGTCTGTAATACACACAGATATAGAGTCTGTAATACACACAGATATAGAGTCTGTAATACACACAGATATAGAGTCTGTAATACACACAGATATAGAGTCTGTAATACACACAGATATAGAGTCTGTAATACACACAGATATAGATTCTGTAATACACAGATATAGAGTCTGTAATACACACAGATATACAGTCTGTAATACACACAGATATAGAGTCTGTAACACACACAGATATAGAGTCTGTAATACACACAGATATAGTCTGTAATACACACAGATATAGAGTCTGTAATACACACAGATATAGAGTCTGTAATACACACAGATTTAGAGTCTGTAATACACACAGATATAGAGTCTGTAATACACACAGATTTAGAGTCTGTAATACACACAGATGTAGAGTCTGTAATACACACAGATATAGAGTCTGTAATACACACAGATATAGAGTCTGTAATACACACAGATATAGAGTCTGTAATACACACAGATATAGAGTCTGTAATACACACAGATATAGAGTCTGTAATACACACAGATATAGAGTCTGTAATACACACAGATATAGAGTCTGTAATACACACAGATATAGAGTCTGTAGTCTGTAATACACACAGATATAGAGATACACACAGATATAGAGTCTGTAATACACACAGATATAGAGTCTGTAATACACACAGATATAGAGTCTGTAATACACACAGATATAGAGTCTGTAATACACACAGATATAGAGTCTGTACACACAGATATAGATTCTGTAATACACACAGATATAGAGTCTGTAATACACACAGATATAGAGTCTGTAATACACACAGATATAGAGTCTGTAATACACACAGATATAGATTTGAGAAATTTTAAAGCTTTATTGATAAATTTATTAATTTTTTTAAGCTTTATTTTTTGGAATATTTTCAGATTTATGAATCCTATGAAGCAAGTACACAGGCCCTCATGGAGACACAGTCTACACTTGAGTATGTGGAGGATATAGTAAGTCAACATTAGCATCACCATCAGTTCCACCATCTCTAATTCTCACTACCCCCACTATAACTATCCTTAATTCTCAATAGCCCCACTTTAACCATCCCTAATTCTGGATAGCTGCCCACTATAATTAAGAGCTCATATCTTTATTTTTCCCTCCAACCATCCCTAATTCTTTTTAGCCACACAACTTCAGAAATCTAACATCTATCTTAGCAAGAGTATGATCTACCTGACACTCTGATTGTTCTGATTCACTGTGTTGATAATTTAAATTCATTTGATGTTAGACATACAAAGATAAATATTTATCATCCTTTATCTCATCTCATCAATTTTGTAAAATATTTACATCTCATTCTGTTTAATTTTTCAGGCTGAACTGGAGGCCCTTATCAAGGATCAAATCAAAAAGAAGAAGGTAGGAATTAGGTGTGGATGAATAAAGGATGTAATGAGGAAAAATGAATGGTAGATCACTGGTGTTATAGGCAGTACATAGTGAGTGTGACAGGAAGGGTCACTGGTGTTATAGGCAGTACATGGTGAGGGTGACAGGAAGGGTCACTGGTGTTATAGGCAGTACATGGTGAGGGTGACAGGAAGGGTCACTGGTGTTATAGGCAGTACATGGTGAGGGTGACAGGAAGGGTCACTGGTGTTATAGGCAGTACATGGTGAGGGTGACAGGAAGGGTCACTGGTGTTATAGGCAGTACATGGTGAGGGTGACAGGAAGGGTCACTGGTGTTATAGGCAGTACATGGTGAGGGTGACAGGAAGGGTCACTGGTGTTATAGGCAGTACATGGTGAGGGTGACAGGAAGGGTCACTGGTGTTATAGGCAGTACATGGTGAGGGTGACAGGAAGGGTCACTGGTGTTATAGGCAGTACATGGTGAGGGTGACAGAAAGGGTCACTGGTGTTATAGGCAGTACATGGTGAGGGTGACAGGAAGGGTCACTGGTGTTATAGGCAGTACATGGTGAGGGTGACAGGAAGGGTCACTGGTGTTATAGGCAGTACATGGTGAGGGTGACAGGAAGGGTCACTGATGGTAGATCACTGGTGTTATAGGCAGTACATGGTGAGGGTGACAGGAAGGGTCACTGGTGTTATAGGCAGTACATGGTGAGGGTGACAGGAAGGGTCACTGATGGTAGATCACTGGTGTTATAGGCAGTACATGGTGAGGGTGACAGGAAGGGTCACTGGTGTTATAGGCAGTACATGGTGAGGGTGACAGGAAGGGTCACTGGTGTTATAGGCAGTACATAGTGAGGGTGACAGGAAGGGTCACTGGTGTTATAGGCAGTACATGGTGAGGGTGACAGGAAGGGTCACTGGTGTTATAGGCAGTACATGGTGAGGGTGACAGGAAGGGTCACTGATGGTAGATCACTGGTGTTATAGGCAGTACATGGTGAGGGTGACAGAAAGGGTCACTGGTGTTATAGGCAGTACATGGTGAGGGTGACAGGAAGGGTCACTGGTGTTATAGGCAGTACATGGTGAGGGTGACAGGAAGGGTCACTGGTGTTATAGGCAGAACATGGTGTGGGTGACAGGAAGGGTCACTGGTGTTATAGGCAGTACATAGTGAGGGTGACAGGAAGGGTCACTGGTGTTATAGGCAGTACATGGTGAGGGTGACTGGAAGGGTCACTGATGGTAGATCACTGGTGTTATAGGCAGTACATGGTGAGGGTGACAGGAAGGGTCACTGATGGTAGATCACTGGTGTTATAGGCAGTGCATGGTATACTGTTTCACTAATCTGTGTGAATCGTTGTTTCAGGGGTTTTGAATAGTCTATCTGTCAGGGTCTGTATGCAATCTTTCTGTTAGGGGTCTGTGGGCAATCCATCTTTCAGTGGTTTGTGTAAAGCTTTTCTTTCAGTGGTCTATGGGCACTCTCTCATGGTCTGTTTGAAGCTTTTCTATCAGTGGTCTATGGGCACTCTCTCAGGGTCTGTGAAGCTTTTCTATAGGTGGTCTATGGGCACTCTCTCAGGGTCTGTGTGAAGCTTTTCTATCAGTGGTCTATGGGCACTCTCTCAGGGTCTGTGGGAAGCTTTCTATCGGTGGTCTATGGGCACTCTCTCAGGGTCTGTGGGAGGCTTTCTATCGGTGGTCTATGGGCACTCTGTCAGGGTCTGTGGGTAGCTTTCTATCGGTGGTCTATGGGCACTCTGTCAGGGTCTGTGTGAATCTTTTCTATCGGTGGTCTGTGGGCACTCTTTCAGGGTATGTGTCAAGAAAATTTCTAGATTCAATGAGCCATAGTCATTTATAGTCTGTAGAGTATTGATAGGTATATGTATGATATTGTAGAACATGAAATAACATACTTCTACTTGTGTTTTAAATCTTCATGGTATGGTCATGGTAAATCCTCATCATACTTAATTGATATCATTTTTCATTTCAGTACCAACAACAAGTGACAATCTTCATCGTTGGATATGAAAATGTTTGTGGACAGAAGTTAAGACTACTACAGCAGGTTAACGAGGTAATTATACTATACAGGTACCACAGGTATGACAGTATCAGCAGGTTAACTAGGTAATTATACTGTACAGGTACCACAGGTATGACAGTATCAGCAAGTTAACAAGGTTATACTGTACAGGTACCACAGGTATGTCAGTATCAGCAGGTTAACTACGTAATTATACTGTACAGGTACCACAGGTATGTCAGTATCAGCAGGTTAGCTAGGTTATACTGTACAGGTACTACAGGTATGACATTAGCAGCAGGTTAGCTAGGTTATACTCTACAGGTACTACAGGTATGACAGTATTAGCAAGTTAACTAGGTTATACTGTACAGGTACTACAGGTATGACATTATCAGCAGGTTAGCTAGGTTATACTCTACAGGTACTACAGGTATGACATTATCAGCAGGTTAGCTAGGTTATACTCTACAGGTACTACAGGTATGACATTATCAGCAGGTTAGCTAGGTTATACTGTACAGGTACCACAGGTATGACAGTATCAGCAGGTTAGCTAGGTTATACTGTACAGGTACCACAGGTATGACAGTATCAGCAGGTTAACAAGGTTATACTCTACAGGTACCACAGGTATGACATTGACAGTATCAGCAGGTTAACTAGGTTATACTGTACAGGTACCACAGGTATGACAGTATCAGCAGGTTAACGAGGTTATACTGTACAGGTACCACAGGTATGTCAGTATCAGCAGGTTAACTAGGTAATTATACTGTACAGGTACTACAGGTATGACAGTATCAGCAAGTTAACAAGGTTATACTGTACAGGTACCACAGGTATGACAAGATCAGCAGGTTAACTAGGTTATACTGTACAGGTACTTCAGGTATGACATCATCAGTCAGTTAATTAGGTCATTATTCTTACTTAATTCCTAGAGATGGAATATTGATGTATATTGGTTAAAAACAGTCCACACCATTTTGTCAGTTTAATACAATCTGTATTAGGTTAGAACCTGTAAATTCTCCTTTTATCATCAACATCAATGGTGATGATCTATCAAGAAAATCAAAGTTGACCATTTGTGTTTGTAGTTTTTTATGGATAATTCCAAGAGTTATGAGGAAGAAGACTGGTACCCTAAAACACCGGACATTGATCTGGACGACTGCAGTAGTAAGATTGAGGAGTCACTAACAACCGCAAAGGAACTGACAGAGAAAATATCTACCATCAACGCCGATATGGTGGAATGGCTGACGACATACGCCATCAATAAGGCATCCACTAAGTGAGTTAAGATTCTGATATGATTTTACAGGAAGGTTCATCTAGTTTAGTAATTACAGACAGCTGGTGAACATGGCTGGTCTAGATAGATAGCTGTTTTGTTTGTAGAAAGTAGAACTTTATTTAAGGTAGATTTATTTTATATATGTTGAAAATACACAAAATCTAAGATTTGATAATTTAAGATATTGTATTAATTTTTACAACATCACTTGTGTCACTTTGAATTACTTGTATTTTCTTGGCTGTAGGACATGTCAGGATATCAGAGTCTTTGATTTTATTTAATTGTACAAATCAACACAGGAAGCGGTATATGAAATTTGTACCTTAATACTGTGGAGAAAGCACTTGTGTGTAATGTTTCAGGAGATAACACTTGTGTGTAATGTTTCAGGAGATAGTGTTTGTGTGTAATGTTTCAGGAGATAGTGTTTGTGTGTAATGTTTCAGGAGATAACACTTGTGTGTAATGTTTCAGGAGATAACACTTGTGTGTAATGTTTCAGGAGATAACACTTGTGTGTAATGTTTCAGGAGATAGTGTTTGTGTGTAATGTTTCAGGAGATAACACTTGTGTGTAATGTTTCAGGAGATAGTGTTTGTGTGTAATGTTTCAGGAGATAGTGTTTGTGTGTAATGTTTCAGGAGATAGTGTTTGTGTGTAATGTTTCAGGAGATAGTGTTTGTGTGTAATGTTTCAGGAGATAGTGTTTGTGTGTAATGTTTCAGGAGATAGTGTTTGTGTGTAATGTTTCAGGAGATAGTGTTTGTGTGTAATGTTTTATGAGATAACACTTGTGTGTAATGTTTCAAGAGATAGGGTTTGTGTGTAATGTTTCAGGAGATAGTGTTTGTGTGTAATGTTTCAGGAGATAGTGTATGTGTGTAATGTTTCAGGAGATAACACTTGTGTGTAATGTTTCAGGAGATAACACTTGTGATATTAATATTGTATAGTATCAGGTTGATCTGGATGTTATATAAGTGATTTTACTGAAAACAGTCATGACAACACACTGGAAACCACTTACTGTTATGTTCTATATGTCAAGCGGAAATTTGATAATAAGGTGAATGTGACCTTAACAGCTCACACCGTTTTTCGGTTGCTTAAACATGGAAGTAGACTTTCTGCTGCACCAAACTGACTTGCTTCTTACAGTAATTGTTTGAAGACAAAAACTTTTAATTGATTTGTTTATCCTGTAAGAACAGTAACCAAACTTGCTATCAAAACTTATTGTGAATGATCATGTCATGTCAAAATTGACACACGGTCAAATTTGTGTGTGACATTGCCGTGTCATCAGCTGATGTTTGTCCACATCATGTTTATATCAGCCATTGTGTAGATTTCTTAATAAGGCATCATCACACATTTGATATAGCAGTGTGTAGCTGTGCAACTTTAAAAAAATGTATTCCGAAGATCACTTTCATCAAGCATTTTCCACAAAACTTAAAAGAGCAGAGCAAGTGTGAACTGTTGAGTTTTATAATGCTATGTTTCATTTGCTGCTATTTTTGTTGGCCAATCAAATGTCATGAGACACAGCTTAGAAAAAGCCCGGTTTGAGTTCATGATAATTTAACCAATTAATGATTTAAAGAAAGATAAAAGCAATATTGTTATGATATTAAGACTAAATGGATTTTCAATCTTCATCTTGTTACATGAAGGTACCCTAAACAAATTGTTTGGGAAAGATGATTGGTGCCAACTCACACATTGGCCAAAACATCAAGACAAGTTCCAAGTGACAAAGGGTTTAAAATCAATTTTCAGGCTTACCAAAAATTTTCAGGGGAGCGTATAGTCACTGCTTTGTCCATTAGTCCGTCCCTCCATCTTTACATCCATCTTTTCTTCACAATTAAGCAAGGATCATGTGACTTGCTGTATACATTGATTATGCTAAGGGGATATGCAGTGTACCAGATTCAGGGCCCTTGACCCCACAGTTACAGAGTTATTGCCCTTTAGTAAAATTTTCTTGTCCAGAGCATAACTTTGCCTGCATTAAGACTAAGACAACAAAACTTATAGATTATTGATTGATCATATAAAGAGCATGGGCAGTGCACTACACATTGTAAATGCAGGGCTCACAACCCCTTAATTACAGAGTTATTGCCCTTTGTTAAAATTTTTGTCTGGAGCATCACTTTGCCTGCATTTAAACTAGGATATTGAAAGGTGATGTATACATCAGTAATACAAAAGCAAGATGCAGTGTAGCAAAGTCAGGGCCCATGACGCCTTAGTACAGAGTTATTGCCCTTTGTTAAATTTTTGTGTCATGAGCATAGTTTTGCTTGCATTATAACTTAGATTTATGAAACTTGGTGTATACGTTGGTCATACTAACAGGATATGCTGTATACCAAATTCATGGCCTGCAGCTTGTTATAATTACAGAATTATTGCTCTGTGATAAAATTTTGTGTTCTATAATGTCGTTTTTGGGGAGCATTCATCAGTTTCACAGATGTTTGGGTTAGTTGTCGAAATGAAGTGATATTAAGTGTTGCACACACAAAAATAAGTGACATAAGATGTTGGATTAAAGAGATTATATAGGGAAAAATGTGATATTAACAGGAAAGTGACATTAACCAGCATGACATTAAATGGTTTCCACTGTACAACAATATATCTGAACAAATCAGGTGTTGTGACATTTATTGTCATATTGTGTTCGGTCTTCATATACATCAAAGTTTAATCCTTGTGATTCATTGTGGTATTATATATTACTTACGTTAGCACCAGAGACATGTTGACAGTAAAAGAAACTTTGATAATAATCAGATATACATTAATTTTAAGGGACATAAATCTTACTGGACTTATGTTGGGTTACAAGAAGTTTGGATATGTGAATATTTTGATGGGTAGTGATGTAAACTGGGTTATCTTATTTAATATCACATTATTTAAAATTACTATCATCACAATTAACAAAAAATAATAATGTTGATTAATGATTTTGATTCCAAATAACATTGATCTTGTTCTGCTTTTTCCTCAAGAGCTCTGAATATGGTTGATAGCAAGTAAGTCAAGGAGTGTGAAGTGAACCTGATTGATGTTACTCTGCACATGTTTGTCAAATGTATCAAGTGAACTGTTCTGTATAGATGTCTTATTTTCTGGATCTTTAAGAAAGAATTTAACAAAAAGATGTTAAATTTCTCTTCAGATTTTCACTGATTTTAAAATCCTATTTAACTTACTTACAGAATTAACTACTCTCGGATGCGAACTATTGTGAATATCAAGTATTTTTAAGTCCTGTGTTTATTATATTTTCTGTGGTCTGATTTTTTAGAATTTCAATTTATAATTGTAAAGTTAAGTCTATGAATGAGAAAATAATGAAAATGTCACATCCTTTGTAACTGATGAACTGGATACGAGATTATTTGTGAGACAGAGTTAAAACACAAACTTTTTATAATACAAAGAAATCTGCAGAATAAATATTGGAAGAAAGGTAAAAAATTAGAAAAAAAAAATTTTCTCATATTTGTATTTAATGTAAATTCTTGAGAGAAATTTAGATATACTGTAATCCTACCTTTAATTCTGAAGCAGAATCTTCCTGTCTTCTACCAATACATATGTACTACTGGGGCATGACTTAATCCAGACATTATTGTGTTAAATGTTAGGTGCTATCTTCAAAAACAGAAGTAACCTGATCTTAGAATGAAGAATCATATCAGCCTTAATCCATTGTGAAACTTTATTTTTTGATAGAAAAATCAAATTAATGATACATTAGATTTTATAATTCTGTTTTTTTTATTAGATTATAAGAAAAAAAATGTTCAAAGTCAAATTTCTATTTGCAAGGATGTAATGCCTGAAATGTTGTTTGTAAACAATATATTTTTATTTGTTTGTAAACAGAAATATTTTCATTTGTTTGTAAACAAAATATTTTTATTTGTTAGCACAATTTTGTTTGTTGTATTTCACTTTTTTTCAGATTTAATTCTGTAAGGTCAAAGGTCAATGTGTAATTTCTGAAAATTTTCATCCATTTTTTTCCCTGAGAAATGTTTTTGTCCTGTTAAAAACTTAGATCTGACATCCTTTTGTATATGACTTTGTAAAATCACCTGGAATTTGTTAAGAAATTTGGCATTGACCTTTGAACTCCATTTTTGTGTGATATTGGTTGATATTTTTGTTTCAGTTTCATATTTAACAATATGAGTTTTAAATTTTATGTTGAATCTGTACCGTTGATAAATATGTCTTGTTGCTGTTCTTTTTCAGATGTGAGTATTTATACCTCTGTCAGTGTTTCTGTCAGTATCTAGACATTCTCTTATTGTCATTAAAGATTCGTTTTAATATGTCATAATCAAGGTATCATTCCGTAAAACAATTCTGTGTGGAGTGATGTCATAATGCTTTGTGATGGCATAACATATTATGATGTCATAATGCTTTGTGATGTCATAACACTTTGTGATGTCATAACACTTTGTGATGTCAATGCTTTTTGATGTCATAATGCTTTTTGATGTCATAACAATTTGTGATGTCATAAAGCTTTATGATGTCATAATGCTTTGTGATGTCATAATGCTTTGTGATGTCATAAGGCTATATATAATTCTATCTGTTTGTAGTGCCTATTTTTCAGTACTATTTGTACAAACAGTAAAAATGTGGTTTTTCTTGTTTGACTGTCTAATGTTCTATCTATCATATATAATGTCTGTAAAATGCTGATTCTACACCACTTTGTTTAACAGTGTTGACTGGGTAAGATTGGGTCCATTGTTTTCTGTGTGGATTGACTTTTTCTTGATTTGGGTGGAATATGTTTCATTTGAAACAGTGGTGAATAGGTGTTCATGGTGGCAGATCTGATATATATACCCCTTGTACTGTAACAGAAATACTTTAAACACGAAGTATATCACAGCACTGTGTAATTTTAGAATGACGATGAAGACTCTAGGTTGATATACATCTGTTTGTTATCTGTGGGATGTAGGCACCAGAATTTCAAATTAATTGAGCTGATAGATAAAATTTTTTTGTTCCTTACACCTACCCTAGGCTACCCAAGAATATCAATTCAAGTGTTTTGATGATTTCAAAGTTTCTTCTTGTTCATTTCCTTGTAGTTTGAAGCCTTGTTGGATTATACATAACACAATGATTGAGACAGTATTAATTATATTTTTATGAACTACACATTTCGGTCTGTTTAAGGGGAGATAACTTTGTTATACTGCTGAGATTTCTGTTCCAGGGGAGATAACTTTGTTATAGTCTGAGACATTTTTATCAGTATAATACTGTATAATTCTGTCAAAGGGGAGATAATTATGTTGTATAGTTGAGTCTTCTGTTTCAGGGTAGATAACTCATGTGTTATATTGCTGAAATATCCTCTGAAAGTGCCATCAATTTTACATAACATTAAAACTTTTGATATTTAGGTTTGGAGTGAGAAATCATATTTGTCTTATTTTTGTGTAAGAGAAGAAACTAAAATATTTTATTGGTTGTCTAATTATATTTTGGTTTTAATTAATCAAAACCAACGAACGTGATGTAATATCGTGACTATTGGAAGTAACAGATTTTATATAGATCATTACCACAAAGATCCAGTACCTGTATTGGCTCTGGTCAGACTTTCTTATCCAGGCTGACTTTATAAATTGTTGTACCTAAGTAATTTATAAAATTTGTTATACCTAATTTAAATGTTCTATTGAAGTGCATAACATTTAGTTGACCATTTGATAACAGTTTTTTTTACATATTTAATGAGCAGTTACAATATATATAAAGTTCATTATCTCACCACTTTCAATGATAACAATGTATTTTTATTGTGGTTTTTAGAATTTCAAACTTAAATGTCTTTGATTGTTATATTTACTCAATTAATGTTGAAAATAGAAAGGAAGATGGAGTATTTTTTGTAACATCTGTGAAACTTTCTGTTGATTTTTTTATCAGGAGCAAAAAGAAGCTTGAATCAGCTTTATCAAAGGCCAAGGATGATGTCAAGGCCATCACAGACCAGTTAAAGTCAGCACTGTTAGGTAAGTCTGGTGGGACAAAGGGCAGTTAAAGTCAGCACTGTTAGGTAAGTCTGGTGGGACAAAGGCCATCACAGACCAGTTAAAGTCAGCACTGTTAGGTAAGTCTGGTGGGACAAAGGCCATCACAGACCAGTGAAAGTCAGCACTGTTAGGTAAGTCTGGTGGGTAAGACAAAGGGCAGTTAAAGTCAGCACTGTTAGGTAAGTCTGGTGGGACAAAGGCCATCACAGACCAGTTAAAGCCAGCACTGTTAGGTAAGTCTGGTGGGACAAAGGGCAGTTAAAGTCAGCACTGTTAGGTAAGTCTGGTGGGACAAAGGCCATCACAGACCAGTTAAAGTCAGCACTGTTAGGTAAGTCTGGTGGGACAAAGGACAGTTAAAGTCAGGGCTGTTAGGTAAGTCTGGTGGGTCAAAGGCCATCACAGACCAGTTAAAGTCAGCACTGTTAGGTAAGTCTGGTGGGTCAAAGGCCATCACAGACCAGTAAAAGTCAGCGCTGTTAGGTAAGTCTGGTGGGACAAAGGCCATCACAGACCAGTTAAAGTCAGCACTGTTAGGTAAGTCTGGTGGGTCAAAGGCCATCACAGACCAGTTAAAGTCAGCACTGTTAGGTAAGTCTGGTGGGACAAAGGGCAGTTAAAGTCAGCACTGTTAGGTAGGTCTTCATTAATGTTGGACCAACGATTGATGCTTTACCACTGCATAAGCTCACTTACCCTCTGGGCAAGCCTTGTTTCTAGTTGGCCTAATAAAAGAACAACATCAGTATTAAATGCACAAGGCTCCTTCTGTCTTCTGAAGCATGCTGGGATGAAGAGTTCTAAAGCTTGTTGAAATGAATGGCTGTGACCTTCAATGAATGACCTTGACCAAAATTCAAAAGTCCAGGGTACTGATATTGGGTACATGTATATATAGCATAGCAGGATGAAGGGCTACCAGATTTGTTCAAAAGAAAGACCTTGACTCAGTTTTAATGTCAAAAGGGTCAAATGTGTTAAGAAATTAAATAGGCACTTGGTTAATGGTATTTGTGTAGTAGCATGCTTGGAGATGTGAGGCTTTCAAGTTTGCAGAGATTGACTGAACACACTGACAAAGTCTTTGGTGTAAGCTACAGAACAAATGAGTGATTCCGATCCATTGGGCCTCTTGTTGGTATATCAATGTTGTTTCTGTATATAATACAAAAGAGTCGTGATAATGAATTATTTCTCTGTAAGCTTTTCAATGCAAGGGAGATAACTGTGATTATTTCAGCAAATGACGAGAAGGATGACCTGATACAGACCTACCTTAAACAGCTGGAGGGGAAGACTCTAGAGGCTCAGAAGTTCAAGGCTGCAGCTGAAGTAGCCAAGGTAACAGGAATGATTCCCATGGCAACCACCTGAGAATACAAATCTTGTTTCAGGAATTCTTTATCTCTATTGCAATATATTTTTTCTGCAGAATAAATGGAGATATTCTTTAATTAATCTGTGACAAAAAGAGAAAAAATTAAAATTTGATAAATAGGGGTATTTATATTGGATTTTATCAAAATCAGTTTTTATACAACGATTTGATCATCCTTTAAAACATTCACAGCTTCAGTTATCTTGTAAAAGTCATATTGTATACAGTAAAACCTCACTTTGTCAAACACTGTTGGATTTTGTCAGTACTTAAAGGAAATATATGGTATTTGAGTACTCAATGGTTGTTCATACGTTGCTAGGTAACAATCACAATTAAATGAACAGTTTCCACAAACGACATTTGAAATTCTAGATATTCTGATATTTGTCAAATTTCTGATTGTGTTAAAGTTTTAACTAAACTATATTTCAATGTCTCAAATTTTACTGTAGAAAATTTATCATTAACTGTAATATGCAGAAAATGTGGCTGAAAATGACAGTAGAATGATCAATACATTGTCTTCTTTCATTAACTTAGATATAATATTGAATCCTTATGGTGTGTTATTTATTAAACTCATCCGCTGAAAGAAAAAAAAACGCTAAAAAGTTACATGGCAGATTGTTTTGGCTAGAGTGTCCATGATCTCGCCCTAAATATGTTATTTTGTAATTTGGTTTTACATTAAAAAGAAACTTCTATTTCTACGTTAATTTAGAATATAAGGTGATAGAAAATGTCTTGATAAAAGTATCTAACATAACACATAGCAGTACAGGCCTGTAGTATACCATTAATCACGTAATTATCTGCTGTCCCGTCGGACACCTGTATTGACATTCAGAAGGAGTCCAAACTAATAGCGTGATGTTGGACACGATGAACAGCTGAGAGATGGAAATCAAAATGGGATGAAGCAATACATGGTATTGGAGAAATGCAAGGTTATAAAACAAGGAATAAACACTATTAGGATCAAGTGATCAGTTTGACAAAATTATAGAGCGTATTTGAGTAATACAGGTTTGAGAAAGTGAGGTTTTACTGTAACTGAAATTAAATCTTATCATATTTCTAGTAAAATTGTTAACGAATCTCAGATGTGATCTACTTATTGGTCTGTAGGAGACTTTAGATATTTACAGAATATAATGACAAGTATTAGATAGAATATTCTAGCTAGTGATATTAACAACCTTACTAACCCTTGGTGCTTGTTGCTTCATGCTTCCCTACATTAGTTAAGAGTTAGCTCCCTTTGATCAGTGAAACTTCATTATCTAGAGCTCTGATAAAGAAATAGTTCGAAGGCAAACTAGGTTTTGTGTACCGTAAGTTATACTCCAAAAGCTCCAAAATATTGTAAGTTTTGATCCTGAATACCTCATTCTCCAGACACTGCAAAGTTTTAAATGTACGAAATGTCCACTTAGTGGTTATCTATAGGCTGTACATGAGTCTAACGACATTCATAGATACAGGTTTTTTCCTGTTGTCTTTTGATTAGTTAAAGATTTGAAAAATAAACCAAAAAATTTAAATTTGATGATCATCTGTAATACTAAATGGCTACAAGTTTTAAAATGATGAGCAAGTATTTGCAGAAACATAGCATAACATGTTGGTGCAGAGTTGTATTATAAACATTATATTGAGGAACCTTGTAAGAGTGGACTGTATTAATCTCAGGGGTAATCAAGGTTGGAATTCATTTACAATCATCTAAGACTTTCGAAAAAACAATTTGAATTTTCTTATCAAGTCCACACTAAGAAAGATTTTGTAAAATCTTTGTCAGACCAGAGTAGCTGTGTGCAAACTACTTTTATAATTCAAATAACTTTTTTAAGTACTGCATCTATGTAAAGCTATTTCCACACTTTTTATCATAAAGTGGAAAAAAAGTGAAGCCATACTGCCTTGCTTTTCTGTTTGTTGTACAGTTGTATTTTTAAAAGTTTATACATATCGATGAGGAGCACACATGGTATTTTGTTGGTCTTGGGAAGATTTTGATCATGTCCTCAATTTTCCAATGCATGAAATATATGTGGAACCATTCTGTGTGCTTATCATAATGAATTGTATAAACTTCCTCCAGTATCGATATTTCATGTATAGTGAAGCAAATGATTTATTCTGAAAAAAGAAAATGTGATTTCTTCGAAAATTGATGTGAAAATTATTAGTATTGCCTTTTTGTAAAACATGGATTTATTTTAGTCTGAAACCTATTTCTGATCATGTTGTTTGTTGGTCTGTATGTTAATATATTCTTATCATTGCTACACGATGATGATGAAAGTTTTCTGTCCTCGTGACTCTGCCTGTTGCCGTTGCCGGGCAGAGTCCAATCGACGTCCGTCGATTCTCTGGCGACGTGTTTTAATTGCTACACACAGATTGGTTCTATATATAGCCCTCTCTCTGCTTTATATATGCACTGGCGGGGCCAAATCTATATTTAGCTAGCTCCTCCCACAATATATACTAACAGAAAAACGTCCAAGGGTTGGAGGCCAAAGAGTTGGTCTACCAGGAAGAGTTAGAAAAACGAACAAGTGCTATGAAACAGCTACAGGAAGATCTACGTAAAATGCAGATGGATGCCAGCCAGTCAAAGTTCCTCTCAGAATTAAACTCAAATCGTCTTAAAAATAAAGACAGTGAAACAGCGGTGAGTATCAGTTTGGTTCAGAAGTGTGTGTATTTCCCTCCCCACTGTCTATGTAAGATCATCATGTAAAAAAAAATGAATAAAGGACCTCATTCCACGTAGTACAGTTACAAATTTCAGTTGGGTTGAATTTCTCTCTTAATTTACCGAATATAGGTTTTATTGAGGCAGAAATGTGTCAAGGTCATGATCATAAGGTTGAAGTTCAAGGTTCAGAATTTAAATTATGTTATAGTAAAATAAAACCTTTATTGCAGTGGTATTTTTTATCACAGTTTTTGAGGGGGAAGCAGTTAGGGGGACACTTAGGGGTGACAGTTAGGGGGGACAGTTAGGGGGGACCCTTAGGGGTGACAGTTAGGGGGAAACAGAAGGGTCCCAGTTAGGGGGAAACAGTTAGGGGGGATCCTTAGGGGTGACAGTTAGGGGGAAACAGTTAGGGGGGACACTTAGGAGGGACAGTTAGGGGAAAACAGTTAGAGAGAAACAAAGAGGGCACTTTGAATAAGGTTAGGAATGACTTTACAGGGAACAAGCAATTAATTTTTATTCTTCAGAAAAATATGAGATATTATTTCGACAGAATTATATAGATGGTTTTATTGATTTCAAGGAATATGAAGCACTTCAGGAGGTAAGAATCCGTGTAAAACTGCTTCCATAGTAACAGCTATATAGACTTATGTATAAAATCATTACAATATACAATTCTCTAGGCTAATTAATTAGGTCATTTATAAATAAAACATATAGTAGTGCTCATGAATAATCGAATGATTACATTATGAAGAGATTTGGTTGGATAAGTATGAAAAGAAATTTTGAAAAAAACGTTCTTCACTATTTGATGAAAAGTGAACACAATATCTCTCCATCCAATGTTTTCAACTCTGAAGCCTCATAAAAAAATATCCGAAAACATGATGTTTGTATACTACATGTATTGGGCTGAACTGTGCTACCAGGAAAGGTGTTTTTAAGAATTTTTAATCACTGCATTAAAATTTTGATAAAAGCACAGCGTAAAAAACCTACTTTTTATATCATATTCCCAAAAAGTATGTGAATGTTTATTGTAGAGTAAAAACTAGTCCCTGCATATGTAGAACATAGTACTTATTACATCCTTGTCAATAAAACGAATGCTGAAATAGAGTTCCATAGTCTTCTGTAACAAACAACATTTTTTTGTCATTGAATCAGAATATATTTGTTATAATTTCTATTTTTGTAATGAAATTTTCATCCAAAGTAAATTCAAGCATGTTCATTTTCTGGGAAAAGGTGTTATCTGTTTTATCAAACCTTGATATTTTAGCTGACAGTCAGTAATGTTGTTTTTGATTTTAATGAAGTGAGTTTTAGTAGCAAGAAGGAAAATATATTTTAAATTTATTTCGTTACTATGGAAACAGATATATTTTATAATGAATTGAAATTTATGATTTTGCTTACTAGTTTATCCCTAAATATTATTAATGTGTGTCTATATGTTAATTTTGCTTCCTAGTTTAATTTAAAAGAAAAAAAGATGTTTTTCCCTGTAGTGCATGAGTGAACAGCTGTTAATATTTATTTCTGCTTCAGTAATTTTGATATAATTTACATTACCATATAAGGTTAATACATGTATATTATTGTCTTCGTCCCTAATTTATCTTAACGTGGTTTGTTTGAAGTACAGATTGATATGTTACCGTTCCTTAGTCATCGTTACATCATTTCGATCCGAAAGTTTTGGGAAAGTTCTTATTACGTATTATTGAGGAAATTCGAACACTTTAAATACATCGATGTTATGATATTGATTACCAAGGAAGATAAATCATCTCAGCTTGTTTATATATTTCCAGTTAGATATGTGGATATATCAAATGCTAAAAAATCTTTTTAAGTCTGTATTATAAACAGATTTGATTCAGAAAATTTGAAACTTAAAGGAAGGCGATATTTATAACACTATCTCTAAGATGATGTTTTGATATCCAGCAAAACGTTTAGTTTAAAAAGTAAAAAAATATAGGCTTTGTAGTTTAGCTACAAATGGAATGGACTTAGAGAATTGAACACAACTGTATTGGGAGTAGTTAACTTACATGGTATATATATTTAACAAGCTGTACATATCAATTTTAGCATTAATTGTGGCTGATATCATTCATAATTGATGAATTGTCGTTTTAATTTTTGCAGTGATTGTAAATGGAGAGCTACAGGACATGTGTAAAACCCAATTTCAAATTAACTTATAATCAGACACTTTCACTGTAGATTTTCACTGTAGGGGTCGGAGGTTACAGGGTCAGCATGTGTTACTACAAGGTCAAGTATCCATACACCCTCTGGTTTAGTGTATTCATACCAAACACATCAAAATTCAAATTCAAATGCACTCAAAAAATGCAGAGAAAAATTGGTGCCAGATTTCAATTAAACTTAATACAGTGCTTCATATCAACACCTGAAACTAAAAGAAAGAAAAAAAATCTTGTCTGGGTGGAGGCAGAACCTTTGTTACATTCCAAACAGCAGTCTAAGATGTATTTTGCTGTTAATATGGAATAAGATTGGTTGAAATTTTAATACTGATGATATGATTGGTTGAAATTTTAAAGTTGATGATCTAATTGGTTGAAATTGTAATACTGATGATCTGATTGGTTGAAATTTTGATCCTGATGATCTGATTGGTTGAAATTGTGATACTGATGATCTGATTGGTTGAAATTTTGATCCTGATGATTTAATGATGGTTGTATGGATACACCAGTGGTAGCAACACAGTCCCTGGGTGCTGTTGGTTCTGGTAACACACATGCATTTGCATTTATTTTTTATAAATTTGCATGATTAGTAGATTAAAAGTAAGGTATATGTAACACTACACATGGTAACTGAAAACCTTGTTATCAAACATCAAAATGATTAAGTATGGTGAGCAATTAGGTGCTCAAAACTTCTCTTTACTATAGATACAAAGGGAAATAAATACACAGTAAGGGGAGATGATACACAGTAAAGGGAGATAAATACACAGTAAGGGGAGATAATACACAGTAAGGGAGATAAATACACATTAAGGGGAGATAAATACACAGTAAGTGGAGATAAATACACAGTAAGGGAAGATAAATACACAGTAAGGGAGATAATACACAGTAAGGGAGATAAATACACAGTAAAGGGAGATAAATGCACAATAAGGGGAGATAATACACAGTAAGGGGAGATAATACACAGTAAGGGGAGATAAATACCCAGTAAGGGAGATAATACACAGTAAGGGAGATAAATACACAGTAAAGGGAGATAATACACAGTAAGGGGAGATAATACACAGTAAGGGAGATAATACACAGTAAGGGAGATAAATACACAGTAAGGGGAGATAAATGCACAGTAAGGAGAGATAAATACACAGTAAGGGAGATAATACACTGTAAGGGAGATAAATACACAGTAAGGGGAGATAATACACAGTAAAGGAGATAATACACAGTAAGGGAAGATAATACACAGTAAGGGAGATAAATACACAGTAAGGGGAGATAATACACAGTAAAGGGAGATAAATGCACAGTAAAGGGAGATAAATGCACAGTAAGGGAAGATAAATAAACAGTAAGGGAAGATAAATACACAGTAAGGGAAGATAATACACAGTAAGGGAGATAATACAAAGTAAGGGCAGATAAATACACATTAAGGGGAGATAAATACACAGTAAAGAGAGGTAAACTCTAAGTATGAAAATTCAAGACTTAAGGAGATATATACTTAATAAGACAGGTAGTCAGATCAAGGATAATCATTCATAGCAGCAGATTATGTGATAACAAGGTTTTCAGCCTACATAGTGTAGGCTACCTATACTTAACCAGTAGTCTCCCTTTCCTGTAGTAGTTTTCTACTTTGTTTTCGGATCTTTATCTTTACTGCTGTGTTATTTCTACAAAATATCTGCCTTGATGTTTCTTATTTATTAGTTTCTCATCAAACAATGTGATTAATGATTTCATTACTTAAAATTAATATGTTGTTTATATATATTGATAAGACATTTAACTCAATGAATGGTGATCTATGTAAAAGAGTGTGATATCATTAGAATTAATGGATTCTGTCATTGTTTATTTCTTAAATGTGGTCCTTACCACTGATGTAAGTTGATGAAAGAGAGAGCTTATGGTAGCTATTTTGATATTATGATAGTATCAAGATATATATATAGTCATATGGGAGATAACTCTGTAGAATGGTTTATTGAAGTAATTATTAGGGAGGTGTGCTGTGTAAGTTTATAACATAATAAAGGGAGGTAAAACTGGTAAAAAGTTAAATTTTGTTAAATTTGATTGATTTATGTAATCTTTACCAACAAAATAATGTTTCAAAATGACCTTCCATTAATATGTTGTGATCAAACTCAACAGAAGTGTCGGGCATATTGTGTCTGCTAGTACATATCAAACAAACATTGCCTTGATCAGTGATTTTGTGTTGTTACCAGGTCAAACTTGATGAACTCCAAAGTGTCATAGAAAGACACAGACTAGAGCTCCAAGAATCCAAAAGAGGTAACTGATAATTGTTTTAGTGATGTCAGCCATGTTGTATGTCTGACCTGAATACAGTATAATCTATTGTATAGATACAACCTACACATGACCTGTTCTGGTTCTTAACAGACTATAGCAATTTCCTCTCAGATATTTTACCGTTCTCAGTAAGGCATTTTACAGTGGAAACAGCCAATTAGTGAGATATATGTAAGATATTAACCAATCAGTGAGAGATATGTAAGATATTAGCCAATCAGTGAGAGATATGTAAGATATTAACCAATCAGTGAGAGGTATGTAAGATATTAGCAAATCAGTTTGAGATATGTAAGATATTAGCCAATCAGTGAGAGATATGTAAGATATTAACCAATCAGTGAGAGATATGTAAGATATTAGCCAATCAGTGAGAGATATGTAATATATTAGCCAATCAGTGAGAGATATGTAAGATATTAACCAATCAGTGAGAGGTATGTAAGATATTAGCCAATCAGTGAGAGATATGTAAGATATTAACCAATCAGTGAGAGATATGTAAGATATTAGCCAATCAGTGAGAGATATGTAAGATTTTAACCAATCAGTGAGAGATATGTAAAATATTAGCCAATCAGTGAGAGATATGTAAGATATCAGTCAGTCAGCATATTTAGCATATTTTGAATGAAATCTGAATACATTATTCTATATGAAAACAATGAATAACTGACAGTTTTTTTTTTTTTCTATCTCCAGAGTTAGAGGTTCTACACCAGGATCAGCTCAAAGCTCTTCACGAAACCCATGCTGCCGATTTGGAGGCTATGCGCGGAGAGTATGCTGATATGATTAAGAAACTGCAGGTAGGAACATCCAGTACCATGCATTAGTGAAGTGTGCACAAACCCTATATACTGCCAAGTTTGCTTCTAAATTAAGATAATAACAACTATATTTCACAAGTGTGTCTAATATTTTAGTATCTTTTATGAGTTCAGCGTGAGTGACAGATACAAAAAATATTATACGTACTTGTAAAACATATTTGTTATTACTGGAGACACTTTTATATTCTATAAATTACATTTTTATGATCAAATAATGAAATAACTGGCATGTTTAGGACAGATATAAAACAAGGAAGCTGACCAGGTGTTTGGGCAGATGCTATACTCACTCATTATAACTTCACTGTTAGCAACAACAAAAATTCTGTAAAAATGTTTAAACACAAAAAATAAAATTCAATATGAATTTATTTTTATCTTCATATAGAAAATGTTACTTGTTTATGTAACTAACAATCAAAATTTGCTGTAAAGCATTCAGAGAGAGTTCAACAATAAGTAAATAAAATATGGCCGACAATATGACAGCAACCCATGAAGTTGCTATGTTGTTGCTGTCAGTGACAAAACTCCTATTGAAATGTCTAGGTCCACTTTCAAGACATTAGGTTGGGGATGGGGTTGGACCTCAGATAAGGTAACTTATGTTACTGGCTTGCATTGTTTTCTGACTTCCATGAAAATGGAAGTTTACCTCAGAACTGAAGGTCAGGTTACTAGTAAACCCCCCACCCCCACAGATATGTGTTTGTGTGTGTGTTTTAGTAAAGGACTTTATGATTGGTCAGTTATGTGAGATGTGTTCTCTATTTTCATTGGTGTAAGTCAGCAAAAGTGTTATTTGTCACTAGTGGCAAATAACACTTTTATAAAAATGTGATTGTTTTTTTCTATGTTTCACCGGTAAAAATGTAATAAAATGTTAGCTTCCTTAAAGTAATACAGACTTTACATGGTATACAGAGTTATCTCCCCTATTATAGGATAGCTGTTGGATTACCCCTGTGAAAAGTTGCATAAATGTCTTGATAAGGCTGGGCCATCATGCACTAAGCTTGTGAAAGTTTATCTGAGTTAGGATACAAAGAATTTAGGATTTTTATTTTCCACTTTATCAATTGGTGCCAAAATAAAGTTTAAGCAACATGATTGAATATTCATTATATTGTGTGTAGAACAACAGGTATATTAATAAGTAAATAATGGACGCAGGCAAAACAATTGCCTCTATATCCATATCTAAAATTATAAATATAAAAAATCTAATATTCTCAGTTATTACATAGGTATAGCCAATTAAATGCTAAATAGCAAAAACAGGTATAGTTTTGAATTTGGGTTAAACCTTTTATTTAAATTAACTGTTAATTTAGCAAGCTTTTTACAACATGGCCCAGCTGTGCCCAGCTTTGTTGTGAGGATAATTAATGAAAAAGAGAACACTTTGGACTTTTAAATTTGTTTGAATAGAAAATGATATTTTACTGCTGTAATGAACCTTGAAATTGATTTGATTTTCAGGCAACATGAGTTTCCTTTTTATTATACCTTCAGGCATGAAATCTTTTCATTTTTGAAGATTTTTATTAATCTGTTAACATAAATACACTCGACACTTGACACATAGTGATGTTTTCTTGTGATGCTTATTAGTACAGCTAGGTAGACTAGAGATCCCTCATCCCCTTCCAACTGTGGACCAGATTTCTACTGGGGAAATAAAGAATAGATCTAGACACTGTATTCTTGTTTCTCTCTTTCCTGACCCATGATGTTCTTCTTTGTCTGGCCTGCTTTCAAGATGACAGGTGTCAAAAATATGGGAAACTTAATTTTTTTCTCAATAGCCTGGCCACCCAAGATTTTTCTCCTGAAAGATCCTATAAAAGAACAATATCGGGATACTTGATTACTAATAGAAAAACCATACATGCCTATTGTGTGTTTTGCTTATCTGACTCTTGAATATTATAACATTTTGTGATATCTTACCCCTGAGGGAATTGCTGTCGTATCTGACCTCTGTGTGATTCGCTGTTGTATCTGACCTCTGAGTGATTTGCTGTTGTATCTAACCCCTGTGTGATTTGCTGTCGTATCTGACCCCTGTGTGAATTGCTGTCGTATCTGACCCCTGAGTGAATTGCTGTCGTATCTGACCCCTGAGGGAATTGCTGTCGTATCTGACCCCTGTGTGAATTGCTGTTGTATCTGACACCTGAGGGAATTGCTGTCGTATCTGACCCCTGTGTGAATTGCTGTCGTATCTGACCTCTGTGTGAATTGCTGTCGTATCTGACCTCTGTGTGAATTGCTGTCGTATCTGACCCCTGTGTGAATTGCTGTTGTATCTGACCCCTGTGTGAATTGCTGTCATATCTGACCCCTAAATATCATTTTTCTGTGTCTGGCTATGTCATAATGACACACTCCAAAAATCTGTGTCTAGCTATGTCATAATGACACACTCCTGAAATCTGTGTCTGGATATGTCATAATGACATACACCCAAAATCTGTGTCTAGCTATGTTATAATGACATACTTTCGAAATCTGTGTCTAGTTATGTCATAATGACATGCACCCGAAATCTGTGTCTAGCTATGTCATAATGACATACTCCCAAAATTTGTGTCTAGCTATGTCATAATGACATATTCCCGAAAAGTGTATCTAGCTATGTCATAATGACATACTCCGAAAGTCTGGCGATGTCATAATGACATACTCCCAAAGTCTGGTGATGTCATAATGACATACTCCCAAAGTCTGGCGATGTCATAATGACATACTCCCAAAGTCTGGCTATGTCATAATGACATACTCCCAAAGTCTGGCTATGTCATAATGACATACTCCCAAAGTCTGGCGATGTCAGTTACATCTGAGTATATATGGAGATTACCAGAACACACATCTCCATAAGACTTTGAGAGCAATAACATTCAGGTGCTGTTTGGTACACTATTGTATGAATAATAAATCTATACAAGAGAAAGACGAACCCAGGAAGGGCAATCTATGTTGATATTACAATATCTAGAGTATAAAGACGAATCCAGGAAGGGCAATCTATGTTGATATTACAATATCTAGAGTATAAAGACGAACCCAGGAAGGGCAATCTATGTTGATATTACAATATCTAGAGTATAAAGACGAATCCAGGAAGGGCAATCTATGTTGATATTACAATATCTAGAGTATAAAGACGAACCCAGGAAGGGCAATCTATGTTGATATTACAATATCTAGAGTATAAAGACGAACCCAGGAAGGGCAATCTATGTTGATATTACAATATCTAGAGTATAAAGACGAACCCAGGAAGGGCAATCTATGTTGATATTACAATATCTAGAGTATAAAGACGAACCCAGGAAGGGCAATCTATGTTGATATTACAATATCTAGAGTATAAAGACGAACCCAGGAAGGGCTATCTCTGTTGATATTACAATATCTAGAGTATAAAGACGAATCCCTGAAGGGCAATCTATGTTGATATTACAATATCTAGAGTATAAAGACGAACCCAGGAAGGGCAATCTATGTTGATATTACAATATCTAGAGTATAAAGACGAACTCAGGAAGGGCTATCTCTGTTGATATTACAATATCTAGAGTATAAAGACGAACCCAGGAAGGGCAATCTATGTTGATATTACAATATCTAGAGTATAAAGACGAACCCAGGAAGGGCAATCTCTGTTGATATTACAATATCTAGAGTATAAAGACGAACCCAGGAAGGGCAATCTATGTTGATATTACAATATCTAGAGTATAAAGACGAACCCAGGAAGGGCAATCTATGTTGATATTACAATATCTAGAGTATAAAGACGAACCCAGGAAGGGCAATCTATGTTGATATTACAATATCTAGAGTATAAAGACGAACCCAGGAAGGGCAATCTATGTTGATATTACAATATCTAGAGTATAAAGACGAACCCAGGAAGGGCAATCTATGTTGATATTACAATATCTAGAGTATAAAGACGAACCCAGGAAGGGCAATCTATGTTGATATTACAATATCTAGAGTATAAAGACGAACCCAGGAAGGGCAATCTATGTTGATATTACAATATCTAGAGTATAAAGACGAACCCAGGAAGGGCAATCTATGTTGATATTACAATATCTAGAGTATAAAGACGAACCCAGGAAGGGCTATCTCTGTTGATATTACAATATCTAGAGTATAAAGACGAATCCCTGAAGGGCAATCTATGTTGATATTACAATATCTAGAGTATAAAGACGAACCCAGGAAGGGCTATCTATGTTGATATTACAATATCTAGAGTATAACGACGAACCCAGGAAGGGCAATCTATGTTGATATTACAATATCTAGAGTATAAAGACGAACCCAGAAAGGGCTATCTCTGTTGATATTACAATATCTAGAGTATAAAGACGAACCCAGGAAGGGCAATCTATGTTGATATTACAATATCTAGAGTATAAAGACGAACCCAGGAAGGGCAATCTATGTTGATATTACAATATCTAGAGTATAAAGACGAACCCAGGAAGGGCAATCTATGTTGATATTACAATATCTAGAGTATAAAGACGAACCCAGAAAGGGCTATCTCTGTTGATATTACAATATCTAGAGTATAAAGACGAACTCAGGAAGGGCAATCTATGTTGATATTACAATATCTAGAGTATAAAGACGAACCCAGAAAGGGCTATCTCTGTTGATATTACAATATCTAGAGTATAAAGACGAACCCAGGAAGGGCAATCTATGTTGATATTACAATATCTAGAGTATAAAAACGAACCCAGGAAGGGCTATCTCTGTTGATATTACAATATCTAGAGTATAAAGACGAACCCAGGAAGGGCAATCTATGTTGATATTACAATATCTAGAGTATAAAGACAAACCCAGGAAGGGCAATCTATGTTGATATTACAATATCTAGAGTATAAAGACAAACCCTACTGTAAAACCTACCTTGATGTAGACTTTGTGTCCTTACCTCAGTA